AGTAGCGGAAATTAGTGCTCGAATTTTTCCGCTAACTTCACGCACCTGGAGGTAATGGCCGTGCGTCAGCGACAGTGTTGAGTCCAGATAACAAAAAAATTATCTAGATACAGATAAAGATAAAAAAAATCATATTTATTTAGATAGAGATAAAGATAATACAAGTTTTATATAGATAAAAAAATAGATAAATATTTTTTTTCGCCGTATCATAATGAAGCATGAATAATTAGTAAATTTTAGGTGTATATTATTATTTGCATCTTAACAAAATAGTTTAGTAAACTTCCAAAATAATTATTAGGTAAATCAAATATATTTTTTTTTGTATCTACAAATTGTAAACTACAATTTTTAAGAATTTACCTTGTTAACTATAATTTTAATAATATTCCAATACTATTAAAATGAACAATGTATGTTATTACTCATTGTTATTAATTGATTATAGATTACTGAAGTAGTGAAAACTTGTTTTTTAAATTAAAAATTGTTATTTGTTAATAATAAGTAGCAAAATATAACATTTTAATAATATCAAGTAAAAACGTAAGATAATATATTGTATTTTAAAGTTAGTAACATACATGAGTACCTCGGAGTTTTTATTATATGTACATAGATAATAAACATAACAATATTTTTATTTTACTCATAAAGTGTATTATTATAAAAAAAAAATATCAAACATTCGATTTGCAACACAACATTTCAAAAGTTTTATCACCGAAGCAATTTCTTCTGCCTGTATATACTTGTACAGCTCCACTGAAAAGTCTTTCAACAGGTGCTGAAGATGGGATTGTGGTATTATACTTCAAAAAAATTTGTTTTATTGTAGGAAATTCATCTAATAAATTCAATTCTTTCTTTTTTGAGTTTAAAAATGTTAAAGCTTGTAAACTAAGAAGGTTTACATGTCTTGATTCCAAAGGGTCTGATATGTTATTAGATTTTGGTGAATTATAATCTTCACATAAACTAAAATAAAAGTCTTCATCGATACTATATGCAGTTTCTTCATCATTATTATCCAAAGTTGAATTTAATTTACTTAAAACAAATATTTTGCATTCTTCAATAAATAGTTGTCGACACATTTTTTTGTATCTGACTGGAACCTAATCTAATTTGAATTTAGAATTACTAACAGAAGCAATAATGAAATCTTTACTTTTGGAATTATTTAAATCAAATATAAAATGTAACCTTTTTTCTAAACCAGAAATTATTGCATAATTAAGAGGTTTACAATATTTCAAATCTGGTAATGCCTGAATTAATAAACGTCTTAGTATTAAAATATTTGGCGCAACGAAACCCAAAAAACTTTTTTTTTTCATTTTGTAATTTTGTAAAATCCATTCGTTTACTTTTAATTTGGTCAAATTAAGTTCATTAAATGTAAGAATTAATTGCTTTTTGTGACATAAAATTTTTTCTGCAGCATCGAACAAAAAATTCCATCGAGTTATTACAGGGATAGGGAACTTACATTTACAAATTTCAAAAACTTTACCCGAAGCCACAGTGCTTCTGCTAACTAGATTCCAAAAGCAGGACAGTTTATGAAAAGTAGATTTTGAAATTTTAATGTAATTGACATCAGTTATTTTAGAAACATCACTTTTTGCAATCAAATTCAATGTATGAGCACAACATGTAGCGTGTTTTGGTAATAACTTATCCGAATTGGCTTTTTCAATATTTTCAACGTTTGAAAACATTGATCCTACATTGACTATTTCTACGTCTGAATTTTCGCTATCCATTTCACTATCAGAGCTACTACTGCTTAAATCGTCTTTTTCATGAAAATTACCAAGATTTTGCAAGCTATTTTGATGTATTGTAGGTGATGATGATGTAGAGAACATCTTGAATGACTTTCCAAAGTTACTTGCATTATCTGTTACTATGTGTGTAACTTTCGATTTATCTATTTTATATTTCTCCATAATTTCTGTTAATAATTCTGTAGTATTTATATAATTATGACTTCCTTTAATCCTTTGACAACCAAGCACATATGACTTTCTATCATATGTATCTTCGATGAAATGACAAGTCATACCTATAAGTTATAATTTAATTATTATTGTATTTTATAAATAAGTGTTTCTAGGATTTGTTGTTACAGTATTCATTATCAATTACCCATGAAACTTTTGTTGTTGGAACTCCAAATATCAGCAGTTAAGCAAATATAGTTATGTTATAAGGCACGTAAATATTGTGTACGTGTCTACCTTCACATAATAATTGTTAAGAGAAATCGTCACGTTTGTATAAGGAAATGTCCTTAGAAATTAAGTACGTTTTCAAAATGTAAATACAACTGCTAACACAATGACCTACTCTGTTAAATTTCGTTCCCAAATAATAATCCAAGAAGATGCAGTCCAGGGCGCGTACAGTTGGCCAATTATCAAATGTAGAAATCCGATGGCCACAGGATGTACGTGACGTCCGGAACGATTTCACACCAAACAGCAGTGACCTAGCAGTCACAGGACCGACATAAATACCAAAGGGCGAGAGCCGAGACAGCAGTTAGATTCCACAGCTCAAGTCACCCACACATCACCATTGGAGATTCCACGGACTCTGTCCGTATGTACATTGCCTGACCGTTAAGACTTACGAGTTTATCGCTCCGAGCCCTCTGACGCATGTAGGTGTGCACAAGGAATCTCCACTCCGTACATTTTATAAACTTATCTATGTTATTGTGATTTATCTTAACTTAAATAAATATATCTACTTCGTTTATCAACAATATTGTACGATTCATTTGCAAGTAACACCTAGGTCGCAACAGTTATGAGATTCGATTTTAGTCGTCAACATGTCTACATATGATTCATACTTCAATACTAATTGCTCTGCTATTTGCTTTCTATTAGGTAGAATAGATGTATCATTTGACCCAGTCAATCCTAATAGTAAATTTCGAAAACTTTTTTTCTCACACGTCACTAAAGGTCGCATTTCTTCAACTATATAATTGAACACTAATTCGTTAATCTAAAATCATAAAAATCATAATAGTTTTGTGATTAAAATAAAATAAAATATTTGAGATATTCAATACCTAACAGACAACAATACTTGTATTTTATAATATTAATATTTAAACCTATTTTTTGTTTAGTATTTGTATTTAAATATGGTTTTGAATTTGATAAAGCTATTTTAAACATAAAAAAAGGTTTTTTAAAATTCTTCTATCTCAAAAATATGAAATAAATAGATAGGTAGGTAGTGAAAAGTAAAAATAAAATGCTACCACATATTAGATTTTACAGTTTTAATGTTTAGGTAATTTACATTACAATATTTAGTTAGTATATATAAGTAGTATATATAGTATAAGTTAGTATATATAGTTAGTTATAAAACCTATAACAAATTTTAACTTATTGTTTTTTATTTTGAAATAAATCTGGTCAAACATTTACTGTCTACAACTATTTTTACATGTAATTCAATGGGTTTTCAAAAAATAAATTTTTAAAACTTCACAAGCATAATTTATGTTGCAATTACTTGTTTGAGGCTTTACCCCAAATTGCATTTTCTACTTTTAATTTTTTTAACATGACCAGTTTATTTCTAAGTTGTCTAGATCATTAATTATTGATTATTTTTTTATTTTTTCTAGCAGTAACTTGTATTTTATTACATGCATTTATGTTATATGTTTTAAGTGAAATGACGATACATAATAATATTTTAATTTCTTAGGATTTAATATATGTTATGTGAACATGTCTTATATTTCTTAGTTTCTTACTAATTTCTTATTTGTTAATTATAACAAATATTATATAACTGGTTACTGTAATTATTTAATTTACAATAAAATCTGTCCAAAATTTGTTATTAAAAACTTACTTAGATGTCAGTTATAAATACTTGATAGTTAATAAATAAATATCGAACATCAATAAGCTGTAAGATTAAATTAAAATTTTATAAATCAAAAATTGAAAATATTTTTTAACTTTTTTTAGATACCTACTGATCAAATAACTTATGTAACATACCTATTATTTAGAGTAATTTTACCTTTTTTTTAAGCTTAAATGGGTTAGGTAATCCAATTTGAGTTTATAATTAATATTATAAATTTATCTTATAATATACTATTTTTACTACAAGAGTTTGTAAAAAATAAATGTTAAAAACTGACCTATGTAAAACTATACTTTACATAGGTATATAAAGATCTATTAAAATTGTACATAATTAATATGTTATTAGTTAAAATACCTTTTCCTTGGAAACTTTTTTTGTATGGACATCATATATTTTAGTCTGGACAGATGAAGATGTAGAACTTTCTTCCTTCTTTTTTCTTGTATCATTCACCTTTGGCATTAATGATTTATGTTTATAGTGTAAACATTTAAATGGTTGAAATAATCAATGATCAATTACTAAGAAGAAAGTATGGTATTTAAACCTAAATCTAAAATGAAAAAATAGTAATTTAATTCTTAAAATTATTTAAATTAATATTAAATGAAACACATACATGTAAGCCAATAAACAATGTACTTTTGTGGCTAAAAACTTTATTACATTTTGGTAAGCAAATATTAATATTTTATTTAAATCTAATTTTATGCTCATGATCATTATTGGTATTTAATTTTTATGTTTATATAAAATATCTATCAGAACAGAACAATTTTATTAAATAAATTTAAAGATTTAAAGATTTTTACATTTGAGCCTCATATATTATCATAATGCTATTTTGAAAGAGTAAATTTAATCAATATTTTATAATATAATTTACACTAACATTTAGTCTGGATATAAATGGATATTATATATTCTTGCCAAATTGATAAACCATAAGAATAAAAATATTGTATAAGAGATAAATAAATAATTCTTTTATAATAATTACTAAATATATATCCAGTTTCTATGAATATGTAGAGGAATTTACATAAACTGTTATTTACAAAGTTAATATGCCTATTCCATTTTAGCCTATAATCAAAAATTAATTTCAAATACGTTTTCAAGATTAATACAATTAGGACAGCAGGTTGAAGTACAATTAGGTACCTATATAGTTTAATGAATGAACCATTAAATTATTATTTGTAAAAATTGTTACGTGCCACCGGCTCGATTTCAAGTGTTGCAAGTCGAAGATGTATTTAATAAACATGAGACTTTTAATACATTAATACATTTATTTTAATACTCAAAGTGTTAACAAAATTCTAATACAGAGTGACCTGAAGTAGCTTGTAGTTCCGTGACTAGAACTCATCTGAATTGTGGTCATTTTGGTCCCTCTTTTATATGGATTGATTGACGTCATTGGTCTTGTTGTTTCGGCATAACTCCTTATTTAGCAATAGGTCACGTTCGTTTGACCTACTTTATCATTTTATAGATTACATCTTTTAATATATATTACTGATCTTATTAAATGTAGGTGTTTCTAGGAATATATATTAATCTTTTAAAATATATATTGTTATTATTGGTGTATGGCCAACCTATTAAATGTAGGTGTTTCTAAGAATATATATTAATCTTATAATATTTTAAATTAATGATTATAGATAGTCTATGATCAAATATAGGTGTGTAACACCTGTGATATTGTGTTACGCACAATTCTATTTATACATGTTTTTGTGGTAGCCCATAACACCTCCCCACTAAAAAAAAGGTTTCGGTCTGCAAGACAGAAATCTTTTACAATACCTATTCAAACTTAAGTTTCACAATTTTTGATTAGCATAACATTTTACATATACATATGTTTTTTACATTGAACATTTTTTTTTTTTTTTTTTTTTTTTTAACACTTTGAATAGTTTTCTTTTACATAATTTCCTTAATTCTAAACTGAATACAATTTAATTATCATTTTTGGTTAGTTAATTACATTTTACAATTTGTTATCAAACATTCAAAACTTTTACAATATAATTTACTTAAATTACTAATGTTAGTATTACCCATTTACCAAATACAATTTATATTATTATTATTATCATATTACCATTGAAATATTTTATGATTTCCATTTAACTAAATCTAATTTTCATTGAATTATTATTTCAGCTACAGAATATTATTGCGATTAACTATTAAATAATTTATCGTTGTAATTGTAGAAATCAAATTGTTTTTACCCAGGACATCCAACTATTTCATAATTATTCGTTTCCCAAGTAATGGTGTACAATTTGGTTATCTTCAAATCAACTTTAAAATAAAATCAATTAGTTTTACTATCATCGTATCAAGTGATTATTACTTATGTGTGGATAAACTCCCTCTAAATGAAATATTTTAGAATATTGTTCACATAATTCAAATATACTAGATTGTCTTTCTTCAATATTCATATGTTCGCTTCTAATTAAATTCTTTATCTGTTCTATTCGGTTAGGTGAGTCATTTGTTTTTATCGTATTAATTTTGAATTAATTGTAATCTGAAGATTCGTCATATAATATTTTATTTATATCATTTAATTTAATCTTTTGCGTACATTCCGATATATTTAATATGCTAACTATTATTTTACCGTTTTTTACTTTTCCTATCACATTACTACAAAACATGTCTTTAATTATTTCTTGTTTTTGTATAATTATATTTTTATCTTCGACCTTGGGTTCGGCTATCGGTAATTCTACAATAGTCTCGGTTCTCGGATTTAATGAAAAATATTCTTCATCATTTTTTAACATATTACATTTATTTTCGTTATTAATTATAATTGTATTATTACTTATATCGATTACAGCTTTATTATTGGTTAAGAAAGGTTGTCCTAATATACCGTCTTTTAAAATTGGAAAATCATTTTTGACAAGATTAAATTTTACATTTATTTTTTCATTATTAATTTCAATTGTTATATTAACTGTTCCAATAGTTTCTATTAATTTCTCTTTTATTCCTCTTATTTTAATTTTATTATTTTCGTCAACCATTACTTCTCCTATCAATTTGTTAATTTTTATTACATTTTTTTCGCTACCTGTATCTATTAATAATTCCAAATGTTTAGTTTTACTAAAATCTGAATTACATTTTATATGATTTTCTTTTAATTTTGTTGTGATGTGGAAGCATCTGCGGTAGTTATTTGACTTATCGAACGTGTACCGCTGACCATATTCGATATTTGCGCGTTTCCCGAATTATTATTATTTCCGTTGTTTCGATTATTTCGATCATCATAACGTTTTTTATAACATTCGTTTAAGTTATGCCCGTTTTTGTTACAATATTCGCATGCGATAAATCTTACGTTATAATTAGTTGAAGGTCTCGTAAAGTTATTCTGATTAGGTCTCGCGTAATTATTCTGATTAGGCGGTCGATTATTATTCCCGTAATTCTGTGAATTATTCCTACATTGACTTGCATAATGATTACCATTACAATTATAGCATTTTATCTGCTTGTTATTTTGACTATTATTAGGTAATCTCGAATTATAATTATTACGATTGAAATTTCTATTATTATTATATTTTTGTTGAAACGAATTATTTTGCTGAAAATTACGTGATTGATTAAAATTTTGTTTGTAAGATCTGTCATAATTATTTTGATTATTAAAATTTTTATTTCTATTTATATTGTTAAGAGCTTCTCTATCGGAGTTAAATTCTAATTCTTCAGGTTTCGCTATTTGTTTAGCTTGTTCTAACGTTGTTGGATTTCGCGATTTTACTATAGTACGAATTGGTTCTTTTAATCCTTTCATATAAATTGCTAATGTTTGATCTTTTAATGTTTCATGAATTACCCTAGCACCGTCTTTATTTTTATTTAATGTATTCATATCACTTAGAGAATTAGGGTTTGTCATGTAAAATAAGGAGAAAGGTTGCTGATATAATGTTTATTTATGACTTGTTAAATGGTCACATTCACTCTCCCGAATTGCTATCTATGATAGGGTTCAATATAACAAGTCACCGTTTGAGAAAAATTAATTTATTTTATATACCGTTTAATAGATATAATTATGGCTCTGATAGTTTCTTTCCAAGATCATTAAATTTAGCAAATCAAATTGTGAATTATGTTCATTTTTTTTTTTCATGTCACGTATTATTTTTAATCGTAATGTATATTTAGGTTTAAATGCTATTGCAAATTAATTTTTATATTCGATTTACCATTTGCATATTAATATTCTTGTTATTATTGTATTATTCTTGATTTACTGATATTTTATTGTAAATCTATATTTTATTACTGATAATTACTAAATATTATGTCATTTACTTCTACTGTATTTTCAAAAGGGTTTATCCCGTTTATTATATATATATATATATATAAATAAATATAAATACTACTTCATTTGATTTTTTTAATTCAAAAGTATCACTACAATGAACATTTTTTGTTTCAAGATCAAAATTAATTTGTTCAACACCTTCCACACTTAATCCTACATCTGTTACCTATATTATAAACAATAATTATAAACAAAATAAAAGAAAAAACTTAAAAGAATATTACTTTTATACATCGTTCAGTAGAAGAATCAATTGATTGGTTGCACTGAACTACTAGCACCAGAATTTCTGGATACAATGTCTTAGCCTGAAATTTTGACACGGCACACAAGTTGTTTGTGGTGTGCGCACGGGTCGCGGGTGTTGTGAAGTTTTATATTAAAATAATATTGTGCAAAAGGAAAAAAAAACAATAGAAAAATGATAGTAATAATAATAATAATAATATATTGCATGATAACACAACAAAAAAGAATGGATATTAATTTGTGTATTAATGTCGGCGGTCACAATTATTCTAACACAAGAAAAGAAAAAAAAAAACCAATGGGTAAAAATGTGCGATGTGTCTCCGTACACGATCTCGGAAAACAGCCCGGTTATGTGGTGGTACCTGTCGGACGTCGTAGCGACCGCTGGCGTCCCCTGTCCGGTGATGGATGGGTGGACGGGGGTCGCTGCGGCGTTGCGTGCCACGGAGTGGTGGTTGATAAGAGAGATAAGGACACGGTCGGCGACTGCCGTTTCGGTAGCGGCTGACGCACGGGTCCGCGTCATACTCCCCCGCCAAACCAGCAGTCGCGGTACTGCTACAGTTTGGTACGTTAATTCCCCGTGACTGTTATGGTGGTTCGTCCGTCGAAGATGTCCGGACTTATTGGGTCGGGTCGCCGACTAACTGTACCTCCATTGTGGTGTTCCCCAGTCGTGGTGGGGACGACGCCGAGACGTGGAGACGATGTCCAGTCTGTGGTAGACGGGTCGTATTCCAGCAGTGGTGTCTAGTCCGCCCTGGGGGACGTGAGTGGCGTTGAGAAAACGGGCGGGTCTTCCACGATGACCGGGAATATTGTGAGTGGTGACACGGGTTCATCGAGGATTCGGTCATCGACCTCCATCGCCTCCCCCGGGTTGGTGTCTTGCTCCGGCTGGTGTTCCTGGGCGGAACCACCTGGCACCGGTGCTGACACCTGCACCAACTCCCGGTCTTCCGGGTCGGTGGCCGACTTAGCCGAGGGGGTCACCTTCGTCAGCCGGTACTGCTGACTCGAAACTTCCCTTTCGGCTTTTGCCCGCAGTCTCCTCTGCCGCTGATGTTCCGCTCCTTGGCCCGTTCTGCCGACCGCGTCGATGTTGTGGCTGTAGGCTTTGTCGGTTTGATGGCCTTGGGCCAGGGCTCCAGTGGTCCTGGCTTGTCGGAGGGAGGTGCAGGTGGTGGTGTCGGCAGGCGGTCATGTACGCCACGCGGCTTGGCATCCCCGTCCACTCCGTCGTCGGTGGGTGTGGGTCTGCTGGTGGCATCCTCGGGACTAATGGACGTCCCGGAGCCGGCCTCACCCAAGTTATGTCCCGTTGTGTCGATGCGGGGCGGGTGGGTTGCCGTTGTGGAGGTGTTTTGGTCTTGGTAGCCGGTGTGGTAAGGGTGGCCGTCGTTGTGCCGGTAGCCGCCCTCACGCGCCCCGAACCCGTTGCCTTGGTGGTTGGGAACCGCTGGTATGTCGACGGGCGTGGTGGCTTCGCCGTTGATGGTGTACCCGGCGACCTCGCCGCCGAGGAGCTAAGTGTTTTGACCAGGTCGGCGGTCCGGTCGGCCCACCCCCGGCAGTAAGCTGCCCAAAGGAGCGGCTCAGCCCGCAGTTAGACTACCCCCGCCTTTTTGACGTCGTCCACTGTGCGGCAGCTTCCCGACGGTCCCTGTGACGTGACCGCCTCCCTAACCTTTTCCAACATCTCCACAACCTTGTCAGTGTTCATGTATCGGTGTTCGTCCTGGTTTGCGGAGAATATAACAATATCGTCCAAATACACCTGGGCGAACTCATCCAGATAACCTCTTAAGACCTCATTCATAAGCCGTACAAATGTCATGGGACTGTTCTTGAGACCGAAAGGGAGGAC